TCAGATATAATCTGCGATTAATCTTCCCGTCAGCGGTTTTTATTCGATAAAACGATAACGCGATATGATTAGTAATTTATGCGATTGATGGGCGCGCCAGAAACTAGCAATCGTTCAACTTTGAACATTTATTGTTGCAGTTAACAGGAAACGCTCTTTTCCACATAATTCGAATATCTATCACGTTGAAAGGAATTTTTAGAACCGTTTAAAAGAATCGTGATAAAAGCAACGAGAATTCTTCTCGCAACTGTAGCACGAAATGTAAACTTTCATCAATCATTTTGCTGCCGAATAAATGGCCAAACGTAAAAATGGGTTGATCTCTTTTTCTGCCGGAGAGGAATCTCTTTCCCTCCGGGGAGAGGCTGAATCTATAGTGCAGAGAGCAAAGAGGGAGGAGACAACGGCCGATAACCGTTCGAGAGGATGGCACGAAGAAACAGATCGTGAGGATCAATACCATGTAATTCTGCGAGACTGCCTCATGCAGAAACCGGAAAATACGAAGGACCAGAAATTAACGTGCCGAGGAAGAGAAAAGATTCTCTCTCTAGCTCTTGTCAACTCTCTCTAACTCTTTCTAATTCCCTCTAATTCTCTCTCTCTTTCTCTCTCTATCTCTCTCTCTCTATCTATCTTTACTCCCGACTGTTGCCAACTTACGGTTGGCAAAAAGACGGAGGGAGTATGCGTTTCACCCAGCTAAGATTGAGTGTAACGGATATTAACGTAGTTCGATATCATCTTTTACATTTTCAATTTCTTATTGATCAAGGAGGGTTTCAAGCATATAATTATCGTTATTTGTTATATTAAGGATGTTTTGCACTTATTTTTAAAATATCGAGAATTTGAAAATTGTACAGAATGTCCTTACATATGTTTAGAATCTTTAGTACAAGTTTTAAATCGCTTCACTAAAGCGTTCACAAGTTATAAGGATTTTAATTTGCACCGAATTAACATGTGTTCTTGTGGGAAATGTATAACCACGTCGAATCGAATGACAAAAAAATAAGGAAATAATATTCAGAATTTGTTTAAAATTTGTAAAAGTTTAGATACAGAGGAAATATTTGGTCAAATAATATTATACAAGTACTAACTGGTTAAAAAGATATTAAATATAATTTAATGAAGTTAGCCATGTATCTGTCACAAGGCGAAATTCTCTGCAAAAAGTTAATCATTTCGATTAACAAAATTCGGAATATTTCAGTAAAAACGCAATATTAAAAAATACATCTCTGCACTGTAGCTAAGATCAAATTGTATTTCACGCAATTTCTCATACTCAAAATACACCAAAAGATATTCGTCAATATTGATTTTCAACTACTTTTTGCTGGGATTGTACATACAAAACATCCTTAAAGAAAAAAAAAATTATACGTTACAGAATTGTATGTGTATGGAAAGTCTATAATCATAAAATATAAAATCATAATAAAATCATAATAATTGTTTAAAGAAAAGGAATTTTTTGGTATGTGTGATATAATCAATCTGGGAATAAGCTGTCGAGACAGAATTCAACAGAAATCGTTTACGCAAAATTAAAATTAATATACATATGTGATTTTTCTTCGTATTATTATGTCTGCAATTCAACATGCAATATTATGAGAGAATTCTGTTTTAAATTATTAAACAGAGGCCTTAATATCATTTCCTTGTAATATTTCACACAATTTCTTATACTCAAAATATACCAAAAGTGGATATATTCATCAATATTGATTTTCAGCTACTTTTTGCTGGGATTGTACATACAAAACATTCTTAATAAACAGCGGAAAAATAATATTATTTCGTCTATACGTCCTCTCATTGGCTACGAATGAATCTAAGAAGCAAAATGATTCACCAATAAGATTCGTTCTAAACATCCGTATAGGGAATTATAGTAACTTGAGAAGAATTTATGACATGTCGAAGTGGTAGTGAGAATAATAGACATAACCTTATATGTCAAATTATTGTTATTAATAATATATTGTGAAAAAGTTTTTCGAAAAGTTTGTTATCTATCTAGCTATCTCTATTTCATTTATTCCGAGATACGATTCGTATCATGATGAAAGGCATTTGTTATGGCCTCGTTTATCCGGACAATCTTTCGCGCCGATAAAATAAGCTTCGAACGCGAACCGCGTATTCTTGGTCGAGTGAAACTTGGGAACCCTTTTGTAGAATTCAGGTGCTTTCACGGGATCTCCCTCGCTCTTCGTGGGGTTTTACCCCTCTCCTGGGTATTTGTTTCCATGGACTATCGCTTTCAATGGTCCCTACGGTGCTACAAACGAATCCTCCTCCAGACATAAATGTCACGGACTATAAAAAAGTTTAAGACATTATCAAATTCATAAATGCGCTTCGCGACTTCTTAGATCTCAAAGTTTCTACATTTTTGTTTTTCATAAATCACATACATATTCTTGAGGCACTCTAGCGCGTACTTTGTTTCATAAATTCAAAGCTTCACGTCTCAATTAATACTTTCCTAACGGTAGAAATTCTTATCGTCATATCGTAGATATTTATGATCACTTTTACGCTCTTAATTGCACATTAAGTGAGCAGATTCTTCATTTCCATAGAAACTGTTTATCGTAAATCTACAAATAGCAAGGCCGCTACCACATTGAGAGTCATAAATCTTGAGAGTCTCCCTCTATTAAATAGATAATAAATACTCAATTTACGAATCCCTAGTATTATTCTACGCTATAATAACGAATGATATTATCGACACGTAAGGCGGGGACGGTCCCCGCAGAAACGGAAAGAATTCACATTCACGCGATGCTGAAGGGAGAAGAAATCCCTGCGACGGAGTTCCACGGATAATGACAGAGTCTCGGTCTCCGCGTGCGAGGCGAACAAAACTCGACATTATAGGACAGTCTCGGCCTCTGAAAGCGCCTTCGTCTTCGCACCTGCAGCTCTCGCGGTCGCATCTCGTCTCTCGTGACCGCATATAATCGCGCGTTCCGATCGCTCGACCTTCGCGGGCAGAGCTCGTTTCTCTCCTTTTTCTCACGACGAGCGCGGACTTTCCTCCGTCTCGAGGGAAGCGTCGGATCCAATCGATCGATCGGCAACACGTGGTTACGTTCGAGTTTCCTGTAACTGTAAATCGCTGGCGCGATTGCGCCGAGAGGCGTCGTTGTCCTCCTCGAGCGAAAGGAATGCGCGAAGGACGATGCGGAAGATGCAAGCGAGAAAGGCGCCGAGATGCTTCTTCCATCGTGCCTTCTTTAATCTACGCCCTTTCACCGCTTTAAAAAGAATATCGTGTCACGAGAGACGATTGTCCACAGCATGATGGTATTGGATAGCCACTGATAAACATATGTTTTCGCCTGTAAAATATATACAGGGTGACTCCGAACGTTCCAGCCAGACTTTGAGATCTTATAGGAAATTTAATTCTGAACAAAAAATTTCCCATAAACATGGGTCGAAAAATGCTTCCTTAAGAAGTTATCGCTCAAAAATCTCTGATGAAGGAAGGGCAAAAGGTGAAAAGAAAATGAAACTAAATAAATTTCTTAAAAAACGTCTTTATTCATTTTCTACTATTACGTGCTATTACTAAAATATTAGTTAAAAAAAAATTATTTTATTTTCACAAAAGAAAAAGATTTTTATTTTTTATTTTTATTGTGTTTTTTTTTCAAGAAATTTGTTTAGTTTCATTTTCTTTTTATATAGTCGATTTTTAATTTAATAACAATATAGGCTCCCTAGGATCACTTACAAAAAGCATAGTAGATGATTCTGATAGATTTTTTGGCGTTGAAAACGGATCTGACCGCAAAATTTCCTTAGCACATCAGATTTTTGAGTAATTTGTGATTAAATAGTTCAAAAATGACTTTCGATCATTTTCATGAGTTTATTATGAGTTTATTAAATATCAAAATATTTCAAAAAATTAGGTTCCCTTATAATAAATTCATGAATTTAACCGAAATAATCATTTTTGGATTATTTAAGTAATAAATATTTAATTTGGAATATTTATACAAATTACTCAAAAACTTGACACGCTGGAAAAATTCTGTGGAAATTCTTCAAATTTCCAGCGTCAAAAAATGTTTATGTCATCAGATTCATCTACTTTGCTTTTTATAACCAATAAAACCTAAATTTTCACAGGCCTGTGTAATTAATTAAGTATATAAAATAATATAATATGAAATAAAATAAAATAAAATAATATAATGTTAAATAAAATTAAATAATAATTAATAATAATAATTAATTTTTCACATAAGAAAAAAGAATATGAAACTCTTAGCTCTCATTTACATGATGTAGTTCTTTTTAGGATTTTAGGAAAATATTCAATTTCTCATTTATGGTTGCTCTGGCTACTGTTGAAGTGTAACAAGAGATGTCCCGGAAGTAGAACAAACGAAAAAGAAAACAGAAACGCTCAAGTGGTTAGGTACAAACATTTAGTACCGGCCTTGACACAAAACATATTTTTACGACTTTCTCTATTTAATATTCTATTTGCGTTTTTTTTTAATTAATATATTAATTAATATATTAATTAATATATTAACTACAATAAATAAAGATTTTAAGTTACATTAAATTCCCTCGTAAAACTTATTGAATTAGAAATATTTTTTTTTATCTCGAAACCTAAAATTTTAATAAAAAAACATTATAGTTATATTCTTTTTCCTCGTTTCATTTTTAGTGAGAAATGATTTTATGAAGAAAAGAGATTCTTCTTTTTTTGTACACCAATATAAATAAATGCACTTTTCACGCGACTTCTTAGAAATTGCCTGCAATTTGCATCGAACGCATTCATTATACGTATTATGTTTGATCTTCTGAGAAAATTGAAGGAACGAGGAATGATATTTATACAACATTAAATATACAAATGTGAAATAATTAATACTAAGAAGATGAATGGGATGCAAAATACGCAATTCAGATAAAATAAATTCGAAAAATGTCTCGTGTTTCAGGGTTGAGCCTGGACAACAGTATGTCGATGTCGTCAGTAGGTCCACAGAGCCCTCTCGACATGAAGCCTGACACGGCTCTTATAAATCCGGGAAACTTTAGTCCATCGGGTCCCAATAGTCCGGGGTAAGGTTCCCTCTTTTTAAAATATTATAATCTCTAGTGAATATTAATCCATATGTATAAATATAATCTTTATAAATATAATCTTTTTTTGGATATTAATGCATTTTGATTTAGTGAATATTAATACGATTATAAATTTGACGATACATTCAGTCCAATTCTAAAGTATAAAAATTTTCTTTACTTATCTCAATACATTTTTTTAAAACAATTTAAAAAATTTTTTTTTACAAAGTTAGACGTGTAAAAAATCATTTTAATAAATAGAAGAAATGTTTTTTTATTGGAGAAAAAAATTATTTTTTTTTTCATTATTTTTGTAATATAATTTTTCTTTTAATATTTTTTTATTAATATAATAAAAAAAACTAAAGTTCTTATGTTTTTATTTAATCTCTTTTCGAAAATAATTTTAATGGATTAATTAAATTTTTGCGAAATTATACTAAACGACACGATGCAAATAATTTTCAGTTAAATGTATATATATATATATATATATATATATATATATATAATAAAAATTATATATAATAAAAATTTTTATTAAAATAAAATAAAAAATAAAAGAATTAATTTTTGTACTTCATAAAACGTGTACATTCATAAATTGTGAATGGATGGAAGCCAATTGTGAGAGGTTTCGATATTCTAAATTAAGAGTACTAAAAATACATATATATAAAAAAAACTAAATTAAAAAAAACAAGTTTGTTATTTGGTCACAAAAGAAACCATATTTTTATAAAAAAGAAATTTAGTTTTTTTTCTGTTTACATCTCCTAGCTACAATATAATCATACAGTGTCTTAAAATTTTAACAAAATGTATAGCGGTTTGTTAACACATTAGATTGCCCGAAATGTGCACGTTACGATCGTAGATGACGTAGATTCATAGACCATCGTTCTCTGCTTTGCATGTAAAGATCCTTCAATGCTGGTTGTCACAGCAACCTCCTGAGTACATCACCCAGTGGTCAGAGCAAGACGGTCACGCCTTATCCGCCTAATCATCCCTTGTCGGGCAGCAAACATCTGTGTTCGATCTGCGGCGACCGTGCGAGTGGCAAACACTATGGCGTATACAGGTAAGTTTATAATTCTATAACAAACTATAAGTCTGGTTTTTAGCTGAACTGGCTGCACTTATAGTTCAGAGTTCATCCTTTTCCTTCCAATTAAAGTGGAGTAAAAAAGATAAACTCTGAACTAATACAATCGTTCAGCAAAACAGGACACATCTTATATTGCAATTGCTAAGTAATGTGCTCGAAACAATTGAGACAATTTTGAAAAAAGATTTTCCATGTCTTTTTATCTAATTTTTGTCTATTTTGTAGAGAGTCCTCTGCCTCTCTACGTAGAAGGAAAATTTTTATTACGTACGAAATCAGCAGAAAATATATTTGAAGTTGCCATTATACATTCGTAGCAAGTATGTATCCAACGAGAGGTCTAAAGACTATAAAAAACCGCTTTACCTCTTCTCGCGCGTATTTATCATGTAAATTTGATCCTTGACGCGCGAGGATTTTATTCAAGAAATGTACTCGCGAGTATATAATCTTCCGATCGCGACGGTAATATTGAATCTCAAGCCGGCGACTTCAATAGGAGCGAACAAACTCGTTTGAATATTCTCTTGTGCGCCTCTCCTTGTGTCGCGTCGGCTCTTACGCCAACTGTCTCGGCCCCAACTGCAAAAATAATTACTGTTCTTCCATAGCGAACAGAGTTTCCGAAGAGATGCGACTCGTGAAAGACCCCGTATGCGATTTATCTGAGAAAAAAGTCGGGAGACCGACCGCGCCTATGAATATGAATTCGTCGTGCTTGCCAGATGAGACTTTTCCTCGTTGCATCGTCCAGAAAAAAAGAGAGAGGTTCAAGATTCTTCACGGATTATTCGCGGATTATTCGCTTGATAATTCCGACCCTCGTTAACGGAAGACGATGAATAATCTCGCGAAGGTTCCACGACAATACAATAATTTATTATGCAGCCCGCCCGCGGGTTCCTAACCTAACCTAACCTAACCTACACTGAGAAAAATCGTTTGACTGTACCAACAAGACGTATATGATTGAGGACATTTTGGTTAAATCAAACAAGAATTTCTAATTATCATAATAAGACTCGATTTTTTATAACTAGAACTAGTTTAATAGATTTTACTATAAGGTTAGTATTTTCTGGTTGGATCTATAAAATTTCTTGTTACATTAATTTCTTTGCTTGCCGCTAGGCGGCGAACCACTCTTAACTTAACTCGTATTCAATATTTGTAATGAAATGTATATAAAGAATTAGTATCAACATTAAATCCAAAGTATTTTTTTTTCTCTTGCCAGTAGTGCCAGAAAGAGGACGCTAGCTCTCTGATTGTATGTGTTTGAGCTGCATCCTCTTCTTGCATCACTGTTTAATTTCTAACAAACTGAATTTAAAATAATTTGTTCAATAATCTGGATTGAATTTATCCAATAATCTTGTTGGAATTGAAAATATTAAATAGACTTTTGAGATTAGATAGAAAAAATTTTAGACGACTTGGTGCTGGCGAGTTCAGTATTATTAACTAGAAAATTTGATAAATTTAACAGGAAGAAATTAATCAGATTCATCTGGTAATTCCTACAAGAATTCTGGTTCGTCCATTTTCCAACAGACATACTGGTTGAATCTACCAGAATTCTAACTCATATAGCATCCTATGTCCAAAAGACATTAACAGGACATCCTGAAGATGTCTAATCGCCCAAAGATATCTTCTGGATTCCTTCTGGACATCTTTTGGATGCATGCTATGTGGATAATTAATGCAATCAGATTTTTTTCTCAGTGTATAAATCGTGACAGATGCTTTGTTTTTTTCCTTTTGTTTTCTTCCAAATATCTTCAACCTCTGTCAACTCGCGTAAATAGTTATTGTGAAATAAATAAATATAGATGTGGAGATTCATAGCGGCGGTCCCAGGATAATTGAATCAGAGCGAGGGGAAAAAGAAGGGGGGGGGAGGAGGATTTTTAAACTGGTGTTTTCCCAATTCGGGCAACCTCCTCGACCTTTCCTTCAATTATTTAACGCTCGATAAGACTCGAGGCTGTCTCGGGTCTTTACTCGAGGGGATTGACGGGATCAACTTTTTTTTGAGGAGGGGGGAGAGTGCGTCGGGAGATACGCGCTCTCAATCAAAGTGCCCTCGTGTCTGCGAACTTGCGCGACACGCTTATAAGAGCCTCGATTCTAGCTTGAATATTGAAAAGATCCTCCGAATTGTTTATTCCTCCTAAATTTATCACTTTCAATCTCGGCTCGTAAATTATTTCTCGCTTTAGAGGTCACTTCGCATTCAATACGTACAGTGTTTGCTGGTATCTAGATAAAATTATCTAGATAATCATCTAGATAAAGAAATGGATCATCTTTATCTTTAACTAGATGAAGAAATACAAAGTATCTTTATTTTAGATAAAAATATGTGTCATCTTATCTAAAAATTGTCTAAGATGACGTTTTCGTTATGCAAAAAAGTTTTCCAGGCAAGCTTCTAAAAATCTATCTAAAATATCTAAAATTTTTGAGAAACTTAAAATTTCATAATTTAAAATGAGAAAAGAACGCCGTCTTTTTCTGTTTCTGTTCATTTATTTAAATTTACTTACTTGTACTTGTTTTACTTAAATTTGTGCAATGCATTAATGTATATTTTATAGAAATGATATATGTATTGTTACACATTCATTATTATATTATTAATATATTATAAATATAAATTAATAAATAAATATTTATCATATCATTTATATACCTTTTTGTTATTATTTAAATATTCTTTAGGAAAAGAGAAAGAATATGTGTTTATGATTTTAATATCCCATTTATAATCTGCGTCACATTTTTTACAAATATTTATGATCTTATAAAATAAACAATATCTAGATAATTATCTCATCTTTCATCTAGATTAAGTAAAAGCAAAATCATCTTTATCTTATCTAAGATAAATTTACAGATTTTTATCTTAATCTTTATCTAGATAATTTTGAAATTATTTACAGCAAACACTGGATACTTACGATGCGTTCTCGGGCCTTGCGTTACAAATAGAGCTCTACGAGCGTTGACACTGAACTTTGACTCGCGCATACACGAGTGTATGCGCGAATACATCGGTTATTAACGGAGTCACCTCGCCTTCGCTCCTCGCGTGCGTACGTACGTATAAGGAAAAAAACACGTTGCATACACGGCGTTGCATCGCGTTTGCATAATCGTCGAACCGTCGTCGTCCGGTGGAATAATAAAAATGTTGACGAACCAAACGGCGCAGACAGAACCGGGAGGAAACACGATACTAGGTGAAAGAGAGTTTCCACCGCATGTGTGTGTGTGTCGGCGGGGGTGAGAGGAAGGAAGGGGCGCGGGAGACAGGGAGGACGCGTTTGCGTATCGTCTTTCGTGTTGCAGCTGCAACAGGTCGCGGCGAACCGCCGCGTTGCGTGCGCGCGACGTGTTCGCGAAAACGCGCCCTGAAAAGAAACATGTGCGCGAGAGCGAACTGACTTTTATGCGGACACGCCAACACCTCGAACGCGCCGCGATGCTCCAACATTATTGCGCGCACATCTGGATGCGTTTAATACATTACCGGTCAAAAGTATCGCGTCGCTCATGGAAATAGGGAGGGGGAGAAATACTTTGACCCTTACTCCAATTTACGAAAGTGTCACTTTTGATCCCACTAATGTTCTTATTACGATGCACTTTGCGAGCATTTTGCTTCATGTATATATTTGCAATAAATATATATTAAATTTACAATGTGCTAAATTATTGCGATAAATACAGGGTGAGGAAAAAGTAAACCCTTGAATTTTTCGAAAACTATGCATTTTAGAAACATATGTTTCAGGCAAAAGTTGTAGGGTTTCAAGTAACGCATTACATAGCAACATCAGTATAATCCTCCCTACAACTTTTATCTGAAACATTTGTTTCTAAAATGCATAGTTTTCGAAAAATTTAAGGGTTTCCATATTTTTTCCTCACCCTGTATATTAGTACATTTAAATATATTAAATTATTGCAATAAATGTATATTATAATATATATTAAAGTATTTTGCAAATTTATTATTCTAGACTTTATTTAGAAGAATCAAAGACGACGTATGAATTTTTCTAGATTTTTTAATCATTTTTATTTTTTGAAAAACGCGTCAGACAAAAATGACCCTCCTATGAATTTTGAAGATACTAAAAATAATAATATGATGTAAAGTTAATGAGAACAAAAAAAAATACATATAAATATTACCAAATTATATTTTATTACTGTTATTTCTCAATATCGTGAAAATTAAAAATTATAATAAATAACGAAAATATTAAATTTTTGATTCTTCAAAATAACCTCCCTTTCAATATATACTTTTGTCGTGCTTCCTAACAGTTTTTTTTAAAGCTGTTATTGATATTTGATTGCAGTATATTTGTAAATAGTTCCATAGTTGTAGAGGGAACAAAGATACTAAATTTATATAACGTATATTGTTGATGTATAAAAACCATTTACAACTATATTAAAATGCATTGATAATTTAAATAATATCAAAACAAATTTTATAATAATTGTATATTAACTAATTTTAGGAATCGAATAATAGATGATAAATACTTTTCACGCACATATTCTATGAACATGAGCGATATAGCTAGAAAAAAAAATAAAAAACTTAATCGTTCTCATTTACTTGCATTTTCTATGTTTTTTTTTAGCAATGATGCAATACTTTTGACCGGTACTGTAGCTGTTATTCCGCGCCCTGTCAGCGCGACATTTGTCGGTGTCCGTAATTATTGGGAAACGTCAAACGATTATTTAACGTCATATACTCGTATACCTCTTATTTCGCGACATCTAAAATTACTTTCTGCAATCTGTGTCACGTACCTTTTATCTCTATAAAAGCGTATTTTTTACAGAAATTCCAGATTTTCTCAGATACAAATATTTTGCATATCTATGTTATATGACTTGATGATTGTTGTGTATAAAAAATTGAGGAATTCTGTTATGAAAGC